AATTAATCCTCTGCAGTGAATGGGTGCCTTCAGAATGAGAGTCCAAACAGCTGATAAAAACACAATAATCCACACGTAATGCAAGTAATTCATAAACGGCATGTCTGTAATTAACAGATCCATAAAGATGTTTTTAACTTTAAACCATTGCTTCTGGCTAAAATATGAGTTCATAATCCATAATATTGCTTTCTCCAGTAAAATGGTTGTGTTGTCTGAATCAGGAGAGAAATGTGCACAGATCAAGCACTGTTTACAAGCTAAAACAGATCTAAATAAATATGCCTTGATGGATTTGTTTCTTACAAACACAGCTTTTGGCTACATAAGACATTAACTGATGGACTGGAGTGGTGTGGATTATTGTGATGTTTTTATCAGCTGTTTGGACTCTCATTCTGACGGCACCCATTCACTGCAGAGGATCCATTAGTGAGCAAGTGATGGAATGCTACATTTCTCCAAATCTGATGAAGAAACAAACTAATCTAGATCTTATATGGCTTGAGGGAGTGTACATTTTCAACAAATTTTCATTTTTGGGCGAACTATTCCTTTAACTCAACCAATGGTGTGAGTTTGGCACTGTTTATCCAACAATGGCAGATGGGTGTTCAAGAAACCTGTCTGAATAAAATCATTATTTATTCAGCTTTTTGACAAAATATACTTCAGTTGGATACCACAAAAAGTCAATTTTCTGCTGCATTTCAACTTCCCATCAGAGCAAATGTGTGGTGTCACTAGATGTTTGCTGCGTCGCCGTCCCGTGCCTGACCGTTTCTTCGCTGTCTTGTTCCAAGAGTCTGTGATTCTGTAGTGGCGTATCTACAATGTCTACAGTGCTTCTCGCCTCATGGTCCCCAGAGGAAATGGCGACAACATACTGGTCGTCCTCTGCATCTGTGCTCTTGTGAACATCCGCCGTTACTACTGAAGTGTCTGTGGTTTGCCGACTACAGGAGGGTGAGGATGTGAGCACAGGGCCCTCCGCCGCCTCGCCGGGTAACTCCTCTTCCTCCTCGAGGAAGCTGGTGTTGATGTAGATGATGTCCTTCCTGCTGGAAACCACGGGAAGCTTCCCTGCCAGATTCTCCAGCCTCTTCCTAACCTGTGTGAAGTCGGGTCGGTCCACTGGATCAGCGCTCCAGCAGCTGAACATGATGCCATAACTGAAACACAAGAGCACAGGACATGCTATGAGATTCAGATTCAGTGCTGTTTAAGTCTGGGCTCTGGCTAGGCCATGCAAGGACATCGCAAAACAACAAAATGTGATTAATTTTAAAAGGGGGGTGATTCTGTTCTATACCCACTGTATGCAAATCTGCTATATTGTTATAAAGATCTCACTGATTTATATTACAAGCATCAGAATTTCATCTTACTTTTTAGCCCTATATCATCATCTGCACCAAATTGCATATTTTTGCTCAGTTTGGGCGTCTGAATAAAATTGAGCTGCTTTTCCTCCTCAAGTATGAGCTCCATATTCTCAATCTATCATACTATATGAGCCATAAATGCCTGATACATCAAATATGACACAAAACATAAAAACACCATATGCAAACTTTTTTTTTTGTCTAAATGTTCAATAAAATGCTCCATTTAAAAAATATATATTTCTTTCACATATCAGGCTTTACTGAGTTAATATTTTTTTTAAAGGTTCAATTTACCTGAGATGCAAAATTGCATAACATAATAAAACTTATTTTCAGAAAATGTATCTTGAGCTAAAAAAGAAAGTTGTTTCTGGTGGAGCAAATAAATCTATTTTCATAATAGACAACGTTTTCTTGTCTTTAGAATAATGTACTGGTGAAGTGTTCACTATAGTAAATATGGTCACTTTTGATTTCATATTAACATTTTTGTACAGGATATCTATGCACACTTTCAACACACAGTTTTAAAATTAACTCACAGTTCATCCAGACAGTCATTTGGTTGTTTCAGCCGGTTTCCCTCGAGGAGATAATCGTAAATCTCATGGTTTTGTACACCAGGGTATGGGGTCATTCCTCGAGTGGTTATTTCCCACATGGTCACTCCAAACGCCCACTAAAAATGACATTAAGAGATAATAAACATCAACAACTGTTGTAGACCTTCTGCAAAACAAGCTGCCAAAAACCCTGACTACAGCTGATAACTAGGAAGTCTGTGCCACATGAACAGGCATTTTCTGTATCAAAGTTGCATTACAGTTCCAAAGTATGAGGTCAGTATCATTTTAACACTTTTATTCAGAGAGGATTCATTAAAATGATCAAAAGTGGCAGTAAGAACTTTTATAATGTTACAAAAGATTTCTATTTCAAATAAATGCTGTTCTTCTGAACTTTATATTCATCAAAAAAATCCTGAAAATTTTTTTTTTATCACAAAGCGGTACACCCATTTTCAACATTGATAATAGTAAATGTTTCATAAGCAGTAGATCAGCATATTAGAATGATTTCTGAAGGATCATGTGACACTGAAGACTGGAGTAATGATGCTGAAAATTCAGCTTTGATCACAGGAATAAATTACATTTTACAATATATTCAAATAGAAAACAGTTATTTGAAATTGAAATAATATTTTAGAATATTACTGTTTTTACTGTATTTATGATCAAATAAATGCAGCCTTGGTGAGCGGAAGAAACTTTAAAAAAAAAAAAAAAAAAGGTATTTTGAATGGTAATTTGTGTAAAATAGAATGAACTACAAAGTTAACCGAGCAGTTGTAGAGACTAAAAAACAGCAGATATCTCATAAATTTGGATAAAACAGAACAATGAAGATGACTGTGATGACAGTTCTTACCACATCACTTTTCACCGTGAAGACTCTGTCAGCGAGGCTTTCCACAGCGATCCATTTGACAGGCATCTTGGCTATCCGGCCCTGTCTGTAATAGTCACCACTGTAGATTTTCTTTGACAGGCCAAAATCAGCAACACACACGCTCATGTCATCACGCAACCTGGATGAAATAAAATGTAAATTGCTTAAAAAACAGACATAAAAGCATTTTTAATGTTTTTCAAAAAAGTCTCTTATGCTCACCTATTTTATCTATTTTAAAATGTAATTTATTCCTGTGATCAAAGCTGAATTTTCAGCATCATTACTCCAGTCTTCAGTGTCACATGAGCCTTCAGAAATCATTCTAATATGCTGATTTGCTGCTTATGAAACATTTACTATTATCAATATTGAAAACTGTTTTTTTGTGGAATCCATGATACATTTTTTTCCAGGATTATTTGATGAATAGAAAGTTCAAAAGAGAAGCATTTATTTGAAATAGAAATCCTTTGTAACATTATAAAGTCTTTACTGTCACTTCTGATCAATTTAATGCAACCTTGCTGAATACAAGTATTAATTTCTTTACAAAAAAAAAAAAACATCTTAATGACCCAAAACGTTTGAACAGAAGTGTGAATAAAATGAAAGACTAAAGACTAAAATTAAATATGTGACCCTGGACCACAAAACCAGTCTTAAAGTGATAGTTCACCCAAAAAGGAAAATGTGATGTTTATCTGCTTACCCCCAGGGCATCCAAGATGTAGGTGACTTTGTTTCTTCAGTAGAACACATTTGATGATTTTTAACTCAAACCGTTGCAGTCTGTCAGTCTTATAATGGAAGTGAATGGGAATCACGGCTTTGAGAGTAAAAAAAAACATACACAAACAAAACCAAATTAAACCCTGCAGCTCGTGACGATACATTGATGTGTAAAGACATGAAACGATCGGTCTGTGCAAGAAACTGAACAGTATTTATATTGTTTTTTACCTCTGATGCACTGCAATGTTGTTCGCGTCTTCTTCTTCAGCCTGCGCCTGACGCGTCTTCTTCTTCTTCTTGCTTTACGGCGGATCACAGACTTATAAGTGCATTACCGCCACCTATCTCTCAAATGGACCATTGACACTCCTAATTGAGATTGTAGATAAGAGTGTCAACGGTCCATTTGAGAGATAGGTGGCGGTAATGCACTTATAAGTCTGTGATCCGCTGTAAAGCAAGAAGAAGAAGAAGCCTCACACGCTCAGGACAGTTCAGACTTTCCAGTGTTTCAGAGGTAAAAAATGATATAAATACTGTTCAGTTTCTTGCACAGACCGATCGTTTTGTGTCTTTACACATCAATGTATCGTCACGAGCCGCATGGTTTCATTTGGTTTTGTTTGTGTATGTTTTTTTTACTCTCAAAGCCATGATTCCCATTCACTTCCATTATAAGACTGACAGACTGCAACGGTTTGAGTTAAAAAATCTTCGTTTGTGCTCCACTGAAGAAACAAATCACCTACATCTTGGATGCCCTGGGGGTAAGCAGATAAACATCAAATTTTCATTTTTGGGTGAACTATCCCTTTAAGTCGCTGGGGTATATTTGTAGCAATAGCCAAAAATACATTGTATGGGTCAAAATTATTGATTTTTCTTTTATGCCAAAAATCATTAGGACATTAAGTAAAGATCATGTTCCATAAAGATATTTTGTAAATTTCCTATTGTAAATATAAATATATCAAAACGTAATTTTTGATTAGTAATATGCATTGCTAAGAACTTCATTTGGACAGCTTTAAAGGCGATTTTCTCAATATTTCGATTTTTTTGCACCCTCAGATTCCAGATTCCAGATCAATGAAAAGCATATTCATTCAGCTTTGAGATGCTGTATAAATCTCAATTTCAGAAAATTGACCCTTATGACTGGTTTTGTGGTCCAGGGTTACTCTGGCGCTACTCTGACGAAGAGACTGTAAGTTCAGGACACATACATGCAGTTGCGTGCTGCCAGGTCCCGGTGGAGGAAGTTTCTGCCGCTGAGATACTCCATTCCTTGAGCGATGCCAATCATGAACTTCAGGAGCATCTGTGTAGGGAGATACTGGAAATACAACACCACTTCCTATTAGACCGTCACAGTTTGGTTCATGCATGTAGTAGACAAACAGTAAAGTTGTTGTTTTTTTTGCCATCTTACCACAGCATCTTCCCTGAGACGGGAGCGAAGGAGGAAGCTGTGCAGGTCTCCATACTTCATGAAGGGAAGAACAACCATCGGTTTAGGAAAGTGGCCTGAAACAACCTCTAAACAAACACCTGTGTGAACAAATCAACATTATAACAAAAGATTAACATCATTTTTCTGAACATATTATGGATTTGAACACTATTTCATATGAATATCAGATTGTTTTTATTCTATTTGTTAATAATGAGCATTCAGTCATGTTTCTTACCCAAGAGTCTGATGACGTTAGGATGGTGAAAATCCTTCATGCAAGCAGCTTCATTCAGAAACTCTTCGATCTCTCTCTGGGAGAAGTTATCCACTGAAAGAGGCAGAAATCAATGATTAATTTCATATCTTTTATTATATCCTCTTCTTGGCCTATCTAGCTATACAGATATTTCATCTAATATACGTTTAGTGCCTCTGCAGGCCCTTGTAATGATCTATACAGGTAGCTGTTAGATTAGTTCATGCTACTTGAATCAAGTGTTGAATATGTGGCTAATATATTACCATAAAATCAGCTCTAAAATCACTAAAACAAGAATACTTCAAAATGCTAAAACTGTTTCTATCAATATCCAGATTAAAAATGTCCCACCACTGAGTCACGGAGGATGCACAGTTAATATTTATGACATAATTTACAGACACTTTTGTATTTGATGTTGATTTGATTTTAGGGAACACTCACAATTGGTTATACTGAGAATTCATTTTTTGAAGAATTGATTTAAATGAAGTTATTTACATACATTAATAAGATTCTCTCATAAGTAAAAACTTAAAATTAACCTAAAAAAATATCTGGGTGCAAATATGGCAATAACTAAAATTGTAATAAAATTGTAATAAAATAAAAACATACAAACAAATAATAAAAAAAATTGCAAAATAAAAAATACTTTTTTTCAAAATAAAATAAAATACTTAAAACTTTTTTTTTTTTTTAAATAACAACAACAACAACAATAAATGAAAAACTTTTTAAATAATTAAAAAAACAACTAATTTTAAATAAAATAACTACAAACTGAAACTAAAATGACTTTCATTTTTGAAACCCAAAAATTTGGACTCACATTTCATGGTCTTGACGGCAACTTTTTCCGACGTCCCATCAGGTTGTTTGAGATGCCCCTCCATCACAGACCCAAACTCACCTGTAAGAGAGACATCGGGTCATTAGCTATATCTGACACGAGCTGCAACACAACACCACACCAGACTGCATTCTCACCTTCTCCGAGGACTTTACCGATGGACAGCAGGTTCCTCATGATCATCACATCCTGGAGTTTGCCCTGAAGCTCACTGCTAATGCCCAGACTGGCAACTAAGAGAATGAAGAAATACTTTATAATCTATAACACATACTTGTTTGGAAACTGGACACAAGCAATTGATAAATACACTAATAATGCTTGACGTACGTGTGATTTCGATGGCTGAGCGGTTGTAGGATCTCTGAGGTCTGTACTCAACATTAGGAATGAGTTTATCGTCAGGTCCAAACAAACACCTGTAGAGGGCGCCAGTGATATACATTTATACATAAACAGACCTGACAACCACACAGCAATTAGACCTAACAAAAAAATTAAACAAAGCCCTTAATTTAGAACCTCATGATATTTTACTTTGTTATCAAAACCCATCTTTTTCTGATAAACATATTTACATTATTAATCTGTTAATTATCTTAGCAAAGTTTTATATTCAAAAGTCAAAAGTAATTCAAAAGAAACCATCATATATTACATTTTGTAACACTGATCTTAAAATATACTTTGAAACCCTTTCTAATATGAGATCACAAAATAAGAAGCTTATAAAAACAATAAAAATTCTAAAGCTTTTTAAATTTAAACTGCCCTAATGTATGTATTATTTTTTTATCCTGTTATTTATTATATATATATATATATATTTGTATTAATTTTGCGATTTTTGTTGTTGCTGTTGTTCTGTTTTGCATGCTTTGAGATGTGCAATGTTTCCCTATGTTTGCATTGAGCCTTTGTGTGATGGAACTGAATAAAGGGAGAAAAAACAAACAAACAAACAAAAAAACACACACAGCAATACAAAAATAAACATGTTTCATGTTCTTTTAAAGTTACAATTTGAAAAAAATATATATTTTTTTTTAATTTAATTTATTTATTTAAGTAAGTTTAAGCAAAACCAAATAAACAAACAAATAAATATTTTTAAAAAGCTGCCAATTGTGTAAGAAAAATAAACTTGTTCTCCCTTTGAATTAAGATTATATTTAAGATACTTAATATTAAGATACTTTTATTTATTTATTTATTTATTTATTTTTTAGAAAACAAGACTTAATGTCTAATGTTATTTTGCTTGTATCTTTGATGACTGGAACACAAGAAAAAACACTATTAAAAAGACTATTAAAAGACTATTTATTTTTAAAAATAAAAAAAAAACACTAAAGACATTTTTTTACAGTGTAAAACAATGTGCTAGTCGACTAATGTAGATCAACCAGTTATATCAGCACAAAACCAACAGTAACCAGCAAAAACTATGAAACTTCATGCTGGTCAAAGCTGCTATAGAAAAAAAGGACTATAAAAACTATAAAGACTATAAAAAAAATGACTAGAAAGCCACTGGCTCCTAAAATGCAACAGAAATAAAATGCAGTGCTGAAAAGAAGGATTTCTTGTACATGTCTTCCTAGTTTCTTTATTTTGCCTCCTTTTGAACTGGGATGAAGTAACTATATATTTAAACAACAACACTTTGTGAATGTTTGCCTTTATCTAGACACTGTCAAGACAATGGCAAAGCAGACGTTTCATTAACCCTGGTTTGACAACATACAAATACTAATTTTCCTGTCTGTCTTCAGTGCAGATTAGGTTTATTTTTGCATCCTTTGCAGCAATTTTAGATGCAGTCTAACAGACCTTGAACAGTTAACATTTGGTTAGCAACATAGTGGATCTTTAACCGCAAAACCACCACTGCAAACTATTGGTGAAGTCAGCCAGATGTTGTTAAAGGATTCCAGAGAATGCAGGAGATGTTGTCTCTAGTCTCACTCGCAAACAACCAGACATAATTTGAAGCTCGTTGCTCAGTGCTGCTTTGGCCAACTCTGTCCTCCAAAAGAAGGCCAACTTCCCCCCTACTTTTCTTTCCTGACGCCTTCAATTTCTTGCCCCAAGTACATTAAGAAGAATGTACTCTGATCTCTAAAATAGCCCTTGCTTTTCAGGTTTGCTCTTGGAATCAAGACATCTGAAAATCACACAGCACAGTGAGATTTAACAACAATTACAGCAATTAAACCTCGAGGGATAAAATGAAGTGCTGGGATTGCGAAATGCCTTTAAGAACACCTCAGAAAAACAACGCATACAGACACCGAAGACGGTAATTAAATGAAAGTGCATTTACATTTTTTATTATTATTATTTCAATTTTATTTTTATATATTATTTTATCAACATAAATTAAATAATACGAACTTTGATTTTGTGTTGACTAAGAAAAGGAGAAATGACAAAGAACTTACTGCAAATAAGAGCGATTGTGCAACCATATGGCCGTGAACATCAGTATCATCAACAGACAAAAACTGCAAGCAACTCCAAGAACGATGTACGCGGAGTCAGGATGACTGGGAAGCGGAGTCGAGGATGGAGACTCGGGCAATTCTGAAAGCAAAACACACATGCATTAATGAACAACAGCACTAACAATAGACTGGCATATGTACTTTTAACTAAGGTCAGCATAATACTAAACCTCTACAATGTAATGGCTAATATAGTATTTTATCCCCGAGCTGAATTCAACAGCGTGAGTTTTTCCTCTGGTAACTCATTCATCAAACGGGTGATGATGTGTCCTTTGTTTATGACCCTCTTTTGGTCCAAAATGTTGAGACAAGAGTGATTTAACTTCAACTGTACTTTCCCAAACAAACATCCCACTCAAGAGTCTACTATTTGTATTTAACTGACTGCATTTTATAAAGGTTTTGAACTTTATAATCAACTGGAAAACTTTTTAGGGGAAACTATGCATGCATCCACTGCAAATCAAGACAAGAGTTCAGCAGGATGCCTTCCTGAGTAAAGCAGTAATCCAGGTTTCCTGCAGTGCTTTTGAGTATAAATATATATATATATATTTAATTAAAACTTATTCCAGGAACTGCATTCAAATTGCAATGGACTGCATTTTTAAATTGGTCATTATTTTACAGAGGAAAGCTGCCATTTTCTTGTCTAGAAAATATGAACACATTAAAGCACCTTCTTAGGTAATAAAGACAAATAAATTAAAGCAAAAAAAATATATAAAATAAAAAATATTAAATTATAACATTTAATCAACCGCTTGGAGCCAGTATCCAGACCTCGCTTGTGAGCTTCTGCACATGCATGCACACTCATACTGACTCTCGGACAGACTCTTGGAAGACCCATGGACAACTAGAAGCAAAGGAAAAGGATATTCTGAGGCAGTTCTTGACATTTCAAGGAACTTCTGGACTGGTAGCCAAAGGGTCCCAGTGCAGCTGATCTTTCTATTTGGCTTCAAGAAGGTTTCGGAACATCTCGACATCTCTTGCGCTCTTCTCGCATACTAATTCTCCTGGTGACGATGCAAACCTGTACGGTTTTAAGATTTGAACGGACCTAAGATTTGGTCCACTATCTCTGACTAACTGAGATATGAAGCCATGCTCGCAACAAAGAACTCTTTAATTTAAAAGAGATATTTTCTAAATAGGAATATAAGTATATATACAGTCACTGTATTTTATTTGTGTGTATTATATAATTATGTAAATATATATATATAAATATAAATGATATAAAAATAGTCAGGTAAATATCACTATTTTTATTTTATTATTTATTTATTTGCAGTGTCACTGCATTGCTATATTTCATAACATCTTCCTAACAGTAAAACCCAGGTGTAGGTTCTAGCATCTCCTCACCAGCGTCTGGAACAAAGAGCCAGTAGCGTGATCTTTTGCTCCCTACATATATATATATATATATATATAACCTGCAGAACAAAAACAGAATATTTTTAATCATTGTACGGTCAAAAGTCTAGCAAAGAGCAGCGTGAATCTCCATGCTGGTCCAAGCTGGCTTATGCTAGTTTGGCATTTAGACTGAAGCATCTTAAGTTTACTTGATTATCCATATATATATATATATATATATATTTTATAGATTAAGAAAATATTTTATATTATTAGTAATATCATTTCAAGATGAACACTTACTGAACTGAAGCAACTTATCTTGTTAAAATACAGTTTCAGATATGATACATCATGCTTTTGAGGAATGTTTATTAGTTCATCTCTCAATCATCATTGTACTGCACAGGCACTGCATTATATGTTTTGATCATAAAACTGAGCATCTAAATATATTCTTGCTAAGATATTATTGGGAGATATAGATTGGCAGCTGGTATTTATGCAAGTATCTGCTATGCTGTTACTAAGATCGCATAGATTTACATTATAAGTTATAAGAATTTCATGTTTTTGGACATATAAATATACAGGGTTAGTTAACATCATGAGTTAACCAGCACAGCAGCATTTTTAAATACTATAGGCCACTCAAGTATCGTATCAACTCATTCTTCCTCTTTCAATTCAAAATCTGACAATATTACACAATACAATGTTGTATTAAGGAATAGTTTAGTATTACAGGAAAGAAAATCCTTTTGTGTGTAATCACACCAAAAACAGTGTGAAAACCAAACTTAAAGGCTTGATGGAAAAAGAGAGAAAAAAAGGAGAAGCTGTTTTTGTGAGCCATGTGCTTGCGGGACGCAGGAAGGTTAACACACACACACACACACAGACGCATGTGACACATCCATGGTGCTGGTTGCGTAAAGTTGCCATTGTCACTCCTGTTCCCAAAATCTCTCAGACATGCTGACACTTCAACGAAAACCAAGTCAGTAAGTCTTCACATGCCGTTAGTAGCTTTTACATCCACAAATAAAAAAAAACTGCATCTGCAGTTCTCCAAAAACAAGAAGTGAGTCATTCTAAGGGCCCTGAGACGTACACGTAGTGTGGTTTAGGGTATTTAGGGTGTGTGCATGTAAATGTCTGCCATGCCTCTGTTCAGATTTACACTGCAATTAAATTTGTTTTCCTAGTCAATCCTTCCTTGAACCATAAGCCTGAATGTCCTCCAGGTGTCTCGGGATGAACTTTTTAATGATTATCTTAATTTCTGCACATTTCTGTTGGCCATGCATGAGAAGCAACACAATACATCAAGGTTAAATAGATGCTAGAAAGAAAAATAAACCAAAAAGAAAAAATAAAACCTGGCCCAGTCACTGCGATGAGCCACTTCTGGTCGTCTAGCACACATAATTGCATCCTGTTTTTTTTTTTTTTTACAGGTCCTGAAGTTTTTCAAGGAACCCTCGGCTTGCTGTCAGAAAAGCCATTATATTTAAACCCAGCCTTAAACAACACACTTTTCAAACTCACCAAGAAATTGATTGACTAAAACACTCTCAACTTACTGAATATAAACCTGATCACCTCCTGCAGTGCATTACAGTCTCAATCATCTAAGGATCTGCAGTGCACTGAATAAATAAATATTTATTTGGATTTCTTCAAGGGTTTAGGGTCTAAACCAAAATATATTCCCAGCTACCTGTAATGTAAATGTACCTGTAATACAAAGCCTTATTTAAATCAGCATAACTGAACTATACCAGGAACTGGATTAGAATTGTGCAAAACAAAATAAAAAAATTACAAATATATATAATTACCCTTTACCATAGTTATCATTATTATTGTTGACTAAAAATAGCTATTAAAAACATTTTTGTTGATTAAAATAAAGGTGCAAAAAATAAAATATAATTACTAGATGAAAAACTAAACCAAAACAATTAAACTAAAAGTTTAATTGAAGCACTAAAATTGCTAACGGGAAACAAATAAAACTGAAATAAAAATAAATAAAACCTAAAAAGTAATATTAAAAAAAAAATAATAATAATAATAAAATTGATATAAGCACAAAAAATATACAAATAAAATCTAAAAATAAAAGCTATTTCAAAATATAAACAAAAACTCTAACAGTATAAAAATAATATTAAAATAACACTGCCCTGTACATGCTCTTGAAAAGTGTTATGAGATTGTCACAGAAACTTACAAGAATGTGCACGTAAAAGTCTGCTAGTTTTAAAGTTTTTTCCAAAAACCCAAACATAAATGTAGGTCAAAATCATTCACTTTTCTATGAGCAGATGTTACATGACGAACTAATAGGTGATTTTGTTGAGGGAGAGCAACAGGTGCTGTTCGGAGAGCAGCTGTGAGTGAATGCATGACACTCATTTCCAGTTACTGTTGTGTTCACAGTATGAGATCACACAGGTCAGTCACGGCAGATTGTTAATTCCAGGTCACTCAGTGGTGAGTCATGACAGACGGACAATAACAAATGACTTCTCCACACACTGTCGGTTTCCTGCTACCAGGCCAGAAACAGGAAGTACACATTGTCTACTAAATGCCATGCTGTAACAAAACCACTCCCATATGATAGGTCACTGGTCATTGACAAAGACCACACACAGTTGAGAGGTGACTATAGGCACATGTTCAGTGTAATAAGTGCAGATTTCTCAACTTCTTGTTACACACCTGGCCTTGAAAACAATTCTAGTTGCACATACAACCCAATCTGGGTTAAAAAAAAAAAAATCTATATATAGTCATTATTTTTCCAATTGTACTTGCGGTGGAGAAATGACATACTTCTCCTTTACACAAATAGTTCACCCAGAAATGAACGTTTGTTGAAAAGGCCATCGGAGATGTAGATGAGTTTGTTTCTTCATGGGAACAGATTTGGAGAAATGTAGCATTACATCACTTGCTCACCAATGGATCCTCTGCAGTGAATGGGTGCCGTCAGAATGAGAGTCCAAACAGCTGATAAAAACATCACAATAATCCACACCACTCCAGTCCATCAGTTAATGTCATATGAAGCCAAAATCTGCATGTTTTTAAGAAACAAATCCATAATTAAGGCATTTTATCTTCGCCATATTTTAACTGGATTCCATGCTCCATAATAACGCTTCCTCCTGTGAAAAAGTCTGTTGTCTCTCACTTCAAAATCCACCAGCATATTTGTTTAGAGCTGTTTTGGACTGTTTTCACTTGTAATTGTTGCTTGATCTGTATATATTTCTCTCCTGATTCAGACAAGGTGACTTTTTCACTGGTTAAAGCAATATAATGGATAGAGGACTCAGGTTTTAGCCGGGAGCAACTTTTTAAAGTTAAAACACCTTAATGATGGACTTCTTTATAACAAACACACCGCTTTTCACTTCACAAGACATTAACTGATGGACTGGACTGCTGTGGATTACTTGTGGATTATTGTGATGTTTTTATCAGCTGTTTGGACTCTCATTCTGACGGCACCCATTCACTGCAGAGAGGATCCACTGGTGAGCAAGTAATATGATGCTACATTTCTCCAAATCTGTTCCCATGAAGAAACAAACTCATCTACATCTCCGATGACCTTTTCAACAAACGTTAATTTTTGGGTGAATCTGACGGTACCCATTCACTGCAGAGGATCCACTGGTGAGCAAGTGATGTGATGCTACATTTCTCCAAATCTGTTCTGATGAAGAAACAAACTCATCTACATCTTAGATGGCATAAAGGGGTGAGTACATTAAGCAAATGTTCATTTTTAGGTGAACTATTGCTTTAACAAATATCAGACATTGCTAACTGATCTGCAAAGATAAAAGCATAACATTATTATGAAAACATCTGCTTACGGGGCTTTCAATAATACAGCTGAACTCAAGCAGGCTGGCATGCCGAAGGAAACTGTAAAAATAAATGATCTCAGACTGACTCTTTCATCTAAGAAACAAGAACAGCTGTTTTATTGTAAATTCTCCAGCTAATTTCCTCACAGCTGGTGAAAGTGACTTGTTATCTCAGATCTTAAAAAGCACCATGTCTGTGGAGCAATACTGAGCTAAACATTGCTCTGGGCAACTTGGGAGAAGTTGGTGAACTGAGCAATAAAAATAAATGGTTACATCCAGGATATCTAGATACTATAAAGTCTGTTTAGGGGGCTTTGCTGTTATTCTGAGAGCCACAAGACTCTTAAATTATTTCCAATCAGACAGAACAGATGTGAGAATGTTTACTTCAGTTGCAACCAGTGTTATTTTAGTATCCCTGATATACTTTTAGTTAATATTTTGAATGAATTTTATTTGTAAATTTTCTGTTTTCATTTTATTGTTAAAGTTTTAGTTATTTTGTTGATTTTTTTTTTTATGTCTATATAGTTATTTTTTTACTTTAAATTGTACTTTATCTGCAAAGAAGCAGTCACCAGTTACAGACTCTGAAATATATACTCTCTATACATACAAGCTGGGACAACATTGGGATTCTAATGATTTTAAGCTGATTTCTAAATAAAAACAGACAGTGCAAAGAGTTTTGTGAGTGAAAGACAGAAGCAGAAGAGATGATTCTGTTTCTCAGTGATTGATGTTTAGTAAAGTCAATTTTGTTAGTACACGAAACAAAATGAGCAAACCCATGTACTAACCTTGTTTGTACGTGTTCCGTGTTTAATTGTGACATCATATCTTTGCAAGATTCCATTCAACTTGTCAGGGGGCGGAGCTTCCCATCGGATCATCAGCATGGAATTGTTCACATGAACAGTTAAGTTTTGGGGAGCTTCTGATGGAACTGTAAAATTTGGAAAAAATCATCATTTATCATTTCAGATAAATCATCTCTTGAGTAGCATGCAAAGCAGATGAACAGACAAAAAATTACTTCACATAATTATTTTATCTAAGAAGGCTTTTTCTTGTCTAGACTTTGTAAAAATATGAAGGCATACAAGGACCTTCAAAAAATAAAATAATGAAAATAATAAAATAAATGAATACGCATGGAAATAATGGTTCCCATGGAAAAATTCGAAAGAAAAAAGCCATTCTGAGAAATTAAAAACACTTTTGTTAATTGAAATAAAGCTGAAATAAAATAAAATATAAATATCAGATGAAAAACTAAACAAAAAATAGAAATAATTGAAATAAGTTTAAGTTGAAGCACTAAACTCAACAAATTGGAAATAAAAACTAAAACTGAAAAAATAAAATAAAATAAAAAATAAATAATAATAATAATATTACATGAAACACGGAGTATATATAATATATATATATATA